GACCAATAAATATTTCCCATTGCCTTTATATATAAATATAAATATTAGTTAATGGAGAAAATCAAAATAGGAAATAATTTAAACATACTTTCATTCTTAGTGACACCATAGAAATGAATAATATTTTGATGGTGATTAACTTTACGTAACAATTTCAACTAATTGAACCAATTGTTATCATTAGTTGAATTTTTTTTTAATCCACAACCAAAAACATAATATAATTTACCTCATTAGCAATTTCTTTCATATTTGTCATATCATGACTATAGGATTTCAAGGCACAAATACTGCTATTATCCAATGTTGCTTTATAAACTTTTCCAAAACCACCTGAACCAATTTTTTGAATATTTTTAAACCTACTACTGTATTCATAAAAATTAATGTGTTCCTTCTGAATTGCCTCATCAAGCCATCCTGACCAATTATCCTTAGATTTATCAATAATTACTTTGTTTCCATTGATCATTCTATTGTTTGGCCCATCCTTTGTTTCTTTGCTATCTTGACTAATTGGAGCAGATGATGATGATTTGGATAATTGTAGTGAAGAAATTTCCTGTAGTTCTTTAATTTTAAATTCATCATTATTATTATTATGTGTTGTAAAAGTTAATTTATAATATAATACTTACGCTCTATGGAATAAAAAATAAAATTATTTAATTAGATGATGTCTTAATAATGTTTATTTTGTGTTGTAAAAGTTAATTTATAATATAATACTTACACTCTATGAAATAAAAAAATAAGTTTATTTAATTAGATGATGTTTAGTAAAGTTTATATTATGTTGTAAAAGTTAATTTATAATATAATACTTACGCTCTATGAAATAAAAATAAAAATTATTTAATTAGATTGATGTTTTAATAAAGTTTATTTTGTATTGTAAAAGTTGATTTATAATATAATACTTACCCTCTATGAAATAAAAAATAAATTTATTTAATTAGATGATGTTGAAGATAAAGTTTATTTTGTGTTGTAAAAGTTGGTTTATAATATAATACTTACTCCCTAAGAATAAAAAATAAATTTATTTAACAAGTTGATGCAATGATAAATTTTATTTGTGAAATGTTTATTTACCTTTATAGAATTTAGCTAATTATTTATTATAAAGCAATATTAAATTACAATGTAAAATTCCTTTTACTACCACTACATATTTTTATAATAGTTATTTTCTGTGTAAGAAAAAAATACCTTCATTCATTTTTTTATTGGAATATAAATTTTTTGTCTACTATTCCTTATAATTTTGTGAAACCTCTGAATATCTGCAAATTTTGTGATAAAATAGAATATTATCACAAAAAAATATCTGCAAAATTATAAATATTCTTCTAATTCACAGAAAAGATATCTGAATTAGCAGTTCATAAATCAATTCATATATATTTTTTAAATGTATGTTTGCTTAATATTAATATAACATTTCTGAATTAATTTATTTTAGTAAGTTATGTTCATAACTAAATCTTATTTTAGAAATCATTAATCATTTGATCATTCAATTTTAATTCAATTTTTTCTTAATGTGATGTCAGTCATTTGATTTTTAAAAGGTTTTGTTGTAATTAATGCTGTAAAATAGTAATTTTAGATATCATGGAAATCAATAAATAAGTCTGGAAAGTTGCATGCAAATAAAAATATCTCAAACAATGGAGAAATAAATATTCTAACATTCTAAATATAACAGACTTTAATTCTTAGATTTAATTTAAACAAAGTAATTTAAATGATTGGATCACTTTAGAAATAATTTGAAAATATTTCTACGCAGAAGGTTCAAGTATTACATTTATTAAGATTTCAAAGAAATCAGAGAACCAGATGCTAGAACCTTTAACATGTATAAATAATGTTGTAATTTTCTCAACTTCATGTATCATCTTTAATCATTATCCATAATCATCATTTAATAAATAACACTGCCCTTGTCCTTGTTGTCTTTTAATATTATATTTTCATAGTGATAATAAATTTATCTCTAACAATAAATTCATACTAATCCTGTGCATAATTATTTCTCATATTTATATTTGTCATATGGAAATTAAAAAAAATAAAGATATGGTTTGTTATGCATAACATTTTGTGTTTGTATAAACATCTATTTTTTTTTGTAAAGTTACTTCTAATATTTTTGTGCATCATAATATCGGAGAAACCATATACAATAAGAAAAGGCTGTATTATGGTGCAAGTCACCTAGTCCTGCAACTTACTGCGCCTCGTGTCCAATTTTGGGAAAAATATCAAATCTCAGCTATCTTACTTTTAAAAATTGAATAATTGACATCACCATTAAGAAAAAATTGAATGATTAATGCCACCATTAAGAAAAATGTCAAATGATTAAGCCAATGATTTCTAAAATAAGATTGGTTATGAACGTAACTTACTAAAATAAACCTGTACATTTTTTCAATATATATTAATATGAATTGATTTAATTCAGATATCTTTTCTGAAAATTGTTTATCACAAAATTTGCGGATATTTTTTTGTAATTTTTGCGGATATTCTGAGGCTCCAATATTTGCGACTCGGTAAAGTGATAATTTTGTAATTCATTATATTTGCAGATCTCAATTGTTGTTGTACAAAAGTACTTGATTTTTTAAAATAACAATTTTTTTCTTTTATATGGTTAGAAGTCGATTTCTAAGAATCAGCAAAAGCGGAAACAGCTATTTTAACTTTCCTCGAAATAGACATTTATTATTATTATATATAACTCGAAGTTCCTTTTATATACTTAATATATAGTATGGGTTTAGATATTCGATGAGAGCTTTCTAAGAATCAGCAAAAGTGGAAAACAGCTGTTTTAACTTTCTTCGATTAGACATTTATTATTATAATTATAATTATTATTATTATTATTATTATTATTATTATTATTATTATTATTATTATTATTATTATTATACATAATAATAACATTGATAGCATTTTTTTTACACGAAATTTCCTTCATATATATATTTAATATGTACCTATTGCATTTTTAATTAGTTTTCGTAAATCATTCCCTAAACAGAAAAAATCCAACAATCAACTTCGGGGTTCGCGTTAATATGATAAGGCGCTTTAATTGAAGGTCACATACAATAGAGAGTCCTCTGCGTATATACAACAAACCTTTTGCACACAAACACAAATATAATTAATTAAACTTTTTTGTAACAATCACCAATATATAAAAAGTTGGTCGGAGTTTTTTAACAATAACACACTGCTAAAACTGTCACCGATAAAAACATTTTGTGACACAAACAAACAGACTAAACAATTATTTCAATGAATTTACTAAATTAACTATTACTGCGTCTCACCGTTATTATCAGTTTATATTTCTCCCTTTATCTTTGATCTTATGACCTATTTATCTAATGAAAATGATTTTTATATAAATATAGTAAAGGATAAAACTTTTTTTTTAACTTTTTTTTGATCTGATATAAATAAATAAACAAGTTTTTAAAAATACCGAAATAATTTTCTTTAACTCCTTATGATAATTATTTATTTATATATATCAATATCGACAAAATTATTTCCATTATTAATTATTCTCACATTATATAAAAAAAATTTTAAACGGTAGTCGGTATAATAACAAAAACAATAAACGATACCACCGCCAACAATATGTCTCAAGGTAAATAACAATATACCTATTTTTATTTTTCAAACTTATTTTTTTTTTTCAACTTATTTTTTTTTCCAACTTATTTTTTTTCTCGCAATTTACAATTTTTGCAATTTACAACTTTACAACTTGCAAATTTCTCATTCTCGTTCTTCACTCCTTCAGAATATCCACAACATAATAATTTGCCATCAAGTCAAGTATCTTGGAGTTTCGTTTCTAATAATGATAATTTGTTGGATGATGATGATAAAAGTTATTTATATTCATGCGCAAGTGACAAGTCATGGAGTGTTCTGGGTGGAAGCACTCAAGAAATTTCCAATTCATTAAATTATGGCTATCAACATAATTATGATGATAATGATAACTCCACTATTGTTGATTCACTCAGTATAGTTGCAAATAATAAAAATAAATTTAATAATAATAACTCAAGATTATCATCAAAAACTTCCCCCCCTCCACCTTCGTCATTCCCAGAACCCGAATTTGCACCTTCTATCAACAATGAATCAACTAAAGATTTTCTTGAAGATACTTTTAGATATGAAAGAAGAAATCCGGAAGATTACGTCGGTCATCCAAGTCAAGATTTGCGTGATAATATTGATAATATTGAAAAATATGATGATGATATCGATGATGATTATTATAATAATGATAATGAAGAAGAAGTAAACTATATTAATGATGTTGATGATGATGATGATGTTCCTCATGACATTGATCAAAATGATGATAAATTTCAACTTAGTCCAAAAAACCTATTAAAACTAAAGAAAAACCATTGGACTCATTACATTTTATATTCTAGTAAGTTTCTTTATAATTACATGAGAGTGGGAGGGTTACATGAACAATTTTATATATTTACTAATAATCTATTTTCTTTAGCATTGTATTTATTATTACCAATTATTTGTGGAGTGTTTATTTATTATTATTATAATTACGATAATATTATTAATGATAATATTAATAGTAATAGGATTAATGATAATAAGATCCATAATAATAAAAATAATATTCTTAATAGTAATCTTAATAATAATAATAATAATAATAATAATATTTTTAAAATTTATTATGAATTTATTGTTAATGATCTCAAAAAAAAAATATTTAATTTTTAAATTTGGAATTCAAAAAACTCAATTTTAATAAATTTTACATTTACATTTACATCTCATTTCTCATTTCTTTTTTTCTTTGTAAATTTTTTTTTAAATTTTAAACCAATTTTTTTTTATATCTTCTTATTTTTATTGTTTGTTTGTTTAAATATTATGATTATGATTATTATTATTATTATTATTACTATTATAATATATTATCATTATTATCTGCACAAACTCAATTTAATAAATAATTAAATAACAACTTTCTTGATTTTTATTTGCCATGTGATATTTGCTTTAGCAACAGTGTCTAATTTTCTCATCTTTAAGGATAACTTCTACTTCCTGCTCATCTATTTTAGATTTTTAAAATTACAAGTTGCTGTAATTAATCCTACATTTCAAAAAATAAATATTTAATGCTATGAAAAGGTTTTATGACACTGAAAACATTAATTAACTATCCTTTTTTTTTTTACTAATAACAATAAGAACTCGCTCAACTCTCATCAAATGTACTATACTGCTAATATTCCCAACTGTTTATGCAAATGTACATAGAGTTGCTGCATGAATACTATTGTTTGGACTTTTCTTTGTCCCTGTAAATTAAAAAAACCAGCAAGGCAATACTAAAATTAATTAATTAATAAATTGATTATTATTATTTGTTATCTCACAGCTACCCTTTAATTCTCCTGAACAAAATCCTTTATCCAAAGTTACAACCCTCATATCTTTACATCATAATAATACATAAAAAAATGCATATAAATTATTTTAAAAAAATTATCATTGTCTTTTTTCTGACTTTTTCTTAAAATGATGATAATACTTCCTGAGTATGGACTAACAAATATAAATACAAAAAGTGGTCTAAATTTATGGACAATTAGATAATTCAAACTTCTCCATGCCTTCAAAGGATCTGTAAACTTTTTAATTTAACATCATTCCTCCTAATGCTATTAATACACTTGTACTCAATATAGCTTTTGCTGTTGTCACATTAATTTCTATTTCCATTAAGACATTGAAAACAATCAAAAGTAAAAAGTTTGAAAATCAATCAATTTGTAAACAAATAAGATTTTCAAGTTTTTTCTAAAATATTGCATCATCAATAATAATATCAATGATGAATGGATGATTCACTTATGATGAATTTTGTAATTACCTTGGCCAGAATTACCTGATACTGATGAGGAAAAGAACAAGTTTCTCAACCAATGCAAGGAATTGAGCACAAAAAGAATATGAAGATACTGGTGCAACTTCCAGCATGGCTCTAATGGAAATAGAAGGTAAATTTTCATTTATTATTTATTATCTCTGATTTTTTAGTAGTCATCTAATGAATTGAATTCATTCACAACTTCATTATCACCACTATCATTATTTTCAAAACTTTATTATACATAATGACACATCTATGCACATATATGTGTGCATGTATATATCTTTCAAAAATCTCTACTATTTATATCTATCCAACTGATGTTAGCTGGGGATTAAATTGTTTCAGATATTCCTTTAAATCAGGTTGTACTTCATGAAGACAAGAAATATCATCCAAGTGCTAAAGAAGTTTATGGTCTTGAAGCTGAAACTTTGGTTCAAGAAGAAGACACTCAGCCCCTATCTGAACCAATAGTTCAACCTATAAAATAAAAATTCAAGAAAATAAATGGTTTACCTGAAATTAAATTCAAAAAAGAGTAGTATTATTACATGATAAGAATTTGTTCATATTTAAATTAACATTTAATAATAATAATAAGATTTTTGGTGGATATGATGAATTAGTGAGAAATATTGCTATTGTGGGTCATGTACATCATGGAAAAACATCATTTGTTGATATGTTGATATATGAAACACATAATTCTGGAGCTTGGGATGTTGATAAACAGGTTAAGTAGCATTATTTTTATTAACATTATTTTTTACTTAGATAAAAAGTACAATAATAATAATTTATATAGGAATGTTACTGATACATATATTAGAAAGAGATCATGGTGTTAATATAAAAGGCATGCCAATAACTCTCGTTTTGCAAAATACCAAAGAAAAATCTTATCCATTCAATATTCCAGGTAAAGATAGATAGATATTATGACTATAATATCGAAAATTTGAATATTATTTTGAATTTTATAGGTCATGCTGATTTTGTAGATGAGGCTACAGCTGAACTTAGATTAGCTGGTAATGCTATCAAAGGGGTTAATTGGTTGTTAGTTTAGTTGATGATTTATAGAAGTATTAGTGCATTATTTATAATTAATATCTCCCATATATATTATATAGGCCATGGTTAACACAGAGTATATAATAAAGCATATTATACAAAAAAAATTGTCACTCACATTAGTAGTTATAAAGTCAATAGATTAATATTGTAATCGAGACTGCTTGCCAATGATGCCCACTTTAAACTTAAACATACAATTGAAGAAGTTAATACAGTGATTAGGTTGGAATTACATTTATTTTCCTAATAAATAAACAAATTAATTTCTTTCTTATTTTTACTAGTGTTCCATGTCGCAACCCAAAAAAGGAGACAAAATGGTCGTAAAGGCGGTAGCAACTATCATCAAAAGTTGCAGCCGGTATCCTTAATTTTTACTCTTCTTTGCAATTTATTCCTGCATTAGTCAATATACCTCAGGCCAAAATATTCATAATATCTTTTGCAAAACTTTACTCCGATACTTGTGGTAAAAGCACAGCTTTACAATTATAATTATATTAATAATAACGATTGGTTGATTAATGTAATAAACTATTTATTTATCCATCTATTTATAGGTCCTATGAAGTGATATTTATTATAATCCTATAAAAAGATAATCGAGGCAGCAGATTCCTTTGGATGATAAATTGGATGATTGTTACTACTTTAACTACCTATGTAACTAACTAATAATTGGATGGTTACATTATGATTTGCATATAATAAGTTTAAGATTTTGACTTTTTTTTTCTAGACACCTAGTAGTAATCTCCTCTGTTTAGAGTGATCGTTCAATTAATAATAATGACGAATAGGGCAGACAACAAGGTAGAAGCATCAAACATTTACTGTATAAGTCAGGAAGCTCATACTTTCATGCATTGCTATCTCAAGATAATAATAAAATACTTAACTCTAGGATCAGAAAAAACTTTTTCCTAAAAGACAACAAAAATTTGGTAATAAAAACGATGAAAATCTTTGATAGTGATACCAGTGATAACATTAAGCGTGGCAATAGTGCTATTTCTTCCTGTGAAATTACTGTGGTTAGAATGTATAAAAGATCAAGTCCAATGTTAAATCCTTTTATAAATGCTTTTTAAAAAAATGAAAGGCGTACGTACCTATCTACTGAAAATTTTGCAGAGAATTTGCTATATGAATATATGCCTCAGAACATATGGCGTCATAATTTTATTCTAGATTCAGATAATTATTTCTATGCAAATGGTAAAAGATTTACAAAAGAATCCGTAATTATAAAAGAACATGAACTTCCGAAATTCTGAAAAATTTGATTGACCATTTGCAAAAAAAACAAAAATATGACCTTTGAAAAATAATGATGATGCAATCTAGACAGATAATGTTCATGAAATAGATTAGGTGAATTTTGCGATGCATGCTACTATCATTAAGGGATATGAGTCTGGATTTTCATATAGAGAATGGTGTAATGTCAATTTGTGGGAACTCATCTTAGATCAATACTTTCCAGATATCTTGGATGTAGAAGAAGTTCGCGAAGAGTCCTCTAGTTAATTTATTAAAAGTTTCTTTTGAAGAGAACCTTTTGGTTATTTTGAAATTAAAATTATTAAAATCATTGTTATTATAATAGAGATAATTGTTTTTAAGTAATCTATAGAAAAAAATAAATTCTTTTTATATTAAATCACCAAGTCGCAAAAAAGGCTTTGTTAATATTTTATATTTGGGATATAAAACAAAATATATAATCAAACATATATAATCAACAAATGGATAAATGACATCAATTAATCAGTGTTTTTTTTAGTTAAATTTTTATTAGTTAAAAATTTTTAATCCTACCAAAATGTCCATTAACACATATATATATGTGTGTGTATGTGTGTGTGTGAAAATTGTTATATTAAAAAAGAATAACTATTTTAAAAACATCTATTCATACATAATAATATCTATGTATGAATGGATGGATGTATGTATGTAAGTGTAAATTTTTGTATATATATTCAAATGTATTAATTAGTAGTAATAATGGTAATATAATGGTAATATAATAATAAATGATGATGATATATTCAATGTATATGATTTTAATTATTTTAATTGTAAAATTAATTAAAGAATTATTTTTTGATTATATTAATTAATTAATTAGCCACTTAATTGTCTTGCGGAGGTCTCTTTGCCGATCTCCTGTTAGCTTTACTTTTCTCTCCATCTTTACTACTACTGCTACTTTCTTCTTCTTCATTCTTTGAAGTTTTTGATGTATTTGCAGTAGATGATTCTTTTTTATCATCACCGTCCACATCATCAGGTGTTGGTTCATCATTCTTCTTATGAAGACCAGATTTCTTTAATGATAATAATGATTAGTTATATATTTTTTAAAAAATTTATTCAATCTTTAAAGAACTAATAATATTTACCTTTTTGGATGGTGCCAATAAATTCATTAAAATTCCAATTAGTGAAAAAAGGAAAAGAACTGCTGCTGCAAGACCGCCTGCAACTTCAGGTTTAGTTTTGACTGCTTCGATAGGATCTTCGAATAATATATTAATAAATTCGTTTACGTGTATTTGTAAGTATTTGAAAGGATCCTCGGTGAATGAAGTTGGTTTCTACGTATACACACATCAATAAATTAATGAATTGATAGATTAAATTTATATGATAAAACACTTATAAAATATACTTACATCGGTATCAACGATTGGTGGTACTTGTGCTTCTTCTGCTTTCTTCTCGATTTCGTATTTTATTGACCATGTCTCCTCGGCTAATTTTTCAGCATCTTCAATAGAATGTCCAATATAAATATTATCAAATAAAATATTGTTTTGCATGGTCCATAATTCAAAACCAACAGCAGCCTAAAAGAACCAATTTAATATTTAATATTTAATAAATAATAAACTCGTCCTTGAGGGTTCATTGAAACTTACGATTTTTTCAAAGTTAGAAGGAGTTAAATCTTCAAAATAATCAGGATTTGGAATTTTTCTTGGCGCCCATGGACCTTTATAAGCAGGATTGTCAATTCTTGGTGGGAACCATTTACCCTTATAATCGGGATTTTTTTTCTTTGGTCTAACCCATTCACCACAACCTGGAGCTTCCTCACACTTGGGGTTTGTTATGGTTGGTGCTACCCAATCACCATCTTCATCATCATCCCAATCATCGGGCTTTTTGGCTTCTGGATCAGGAATTGTCAATGGTTCATTGTCAAGCCATCCTTCTGGTTTTACCGCATCCTCATCATCGATTTCATACGGTGCATCCTCATCCCTATATATATATAAATATTCATTGTCGTTATTAGATATATAATTAAAATTTAACATTGAATGTATATTATTAATAGTTTAAAAAATACCAATCATCGGGTTTCTTTGCGTCTATTTAAAAAAATCAATACATATATATATATTTATTATTTTTACATGTGTTAATAATTAAACAAAAAGATACAATTAAGGAAAACATTTTATTTCTATTCATAATTCCAATTCTAACCTGGATCATCGATTTTTGGATCATCAATCCAGTCATCAGGTTTTTTATCTAAAAAAAAAAAAATAATAATTTAAAATGTTTAAATTAAAAAGTAAATAAAAAATTTTTCGAAATAATAATTTACCATTTGAATCGTCAATTTCCTGTGGTGGGTTAACTGCAGGTTCAAAATCTTTTAAGAGATTTCCAGTTTTTGTAGTCTCATTATTAATACGAATTTCAAAATCATTATCAGGTCTACAGATACAATATATATATATATTGTAAATATAAAATACTCGAATAATAATAATATCAATTATTTGACACTTCATGTAATACTTACTTTACGATAAGAGTATACAAAGTACTGAGTTTAGTTATTTTAGCACTAGGAGCACTAGTCATATGTTTTTCTTCGTATTCTCCGGTTAAAGGATTTTTATGTCTAAATATGAAATGAACTTTGTTTGTACCTCCACATCTGTCAGGTCCAAACATAATTGTATATGGTGTTTTATCCGAAAATTCTTCAGCTTGAATTCCCTTCTCGGATAACGTCAACAATTTCAAATATGCTCCGCCACATTCAAGTCCATTCTGAAGTTTAACCTCGTATCTATATAATAAACGATTTGATTTTGATTTTGAATTAATCAATTAATCAAAGACGATCAATTTAATTCTTTTTTTTAAATTTGATCCGATTGATATGGTAAGAATACACAGATCACATAATATTATAATTTTTTACTTACTGAACGACTAAATCTTTGCCAGTGTTATCTAAAGGTTGATCTAAAAGAGCAGATATGGCATGATGTGCAGCTGCAGATTTTACTACTAATCCTAAATCATTCTTGATTCCAGGAAAAACTGTTGGTTCTTCGACATCCCATTTTCCAACATAGCTAAACACTTCACCGCCGCCTTTTGTCTCTTTAATAGCTTCACTTGGTGACCATCGTTTCAACCAATCATTTGTAAATTGTTCTAAAAATAGTGCTTCAATTGTTGTTGGCTAAATTATATAAAAATTTTTATGGTGATGATGATAGTCAATGATTTTGTTATTATTTATATAAATAATATTTTTGATTATTTACATAAATAAATATACCTTAAATTCGGGTCTTTCTACTTCTATTACAGGTGAACTGGAGGGTGAAGGTGAAGGTGAAGAGGAAGAAGTTGAGGCTTCTTCTTCAGCCGCCTTACAAACGTTAATGGCTGAAACTAAAAGAAAGGCAATTACAACATGAATACGATACTTCATCTTGATTTTTATATAAAATGGCTTTTTTTAAAAATATATAAAAAATTGTATATAAGCCAATTTATTAAATAGTTAAATTCGCAAAGAAAAATTTTTTAAAATTAAAATTTTTTTGTTAAATTAAATAATAATGTAAATTTTTAGAAAGTTGTAGAAAAAAAATTTTTTTTTACCGTACCGTTTAAATATTTTTTTGAAAAATTGTATATAGCTGATATGTGGATTAGTATTATTGGTTAACTTAATCTTTTTTGTTAATGACGTGTTGAATAATTATTGGAGGTTCATTCATTCTTCTATGTTACACGTAGTGAATATTGTTCGAGTTGATTAATTGGATAATTTTTTTTTAGACAATGTGCGGTGTGTAACATTGACAAAAAAATTTTTCTTTCAAATCCGTACATAAATATTTTCAAAAATGTCTAATAGTTTTTCATCTCTAGAAAATATAACAATATTAATTAATAGTTTTATAAATTCCAACAAAGATGTTTTACCATTAAAACATATTAATAAACTTTTAATCGATTTAGAAACACTGTTGTATAAATCAGATTCATACGATGTAGAAATTAGGGTTGGTGAGGATTATGATGATGTTAAAGTTTTTAAAGCTCATTCCAATATTTTAAAAGCAAGATCTTCATATTTTAATGCAGCTTTATCTAATAATTGGATGAAAAGATCTGAGGATGGTATTATTTTGTTTGTAAAAGAAAATATTTCTCCAAAAGTATTTGAAATTCTTTTAATGTAAGATTGATTTGATTTATTTATTTATTATTTATTTATTTATTTTATTTATTTATTATATTAAAAATTGATTACATATATATAAATTGTATTATTCTATAAAAAAAAAGGTATATTTATAATGGAATAATTAATATAGATAATTTGGAGGCAAATGAAATTTTTGAATTACTTGAAGCATGCGATGAATTAAACTTTAATGAGTTAATAGATGATTTACAAGAGTATCTAATTACAAAAGAAAAAGAATGGATTCAACAAAATATAATTTATTTGTATAAAATTTCATCTGATCATGATCGATCATCATCGACAATATCATCATCATTCACTTTACTTCAAGATTATTGTGATATATTAATTGATGTAAAACCAGAGTTATTTTTGCAGTCTGATGAAGTTGCAACAATTGAAAAATCAATACTTATATCTATATTAAAAAGAAATGATTTGGATTTGGATGAGATTGAGATTTGGGATTATGTTATTCAATGGGGAATTGGACAATTTAAAAAAGAAAATATCGAAGAAGAGGAAGAAACTAAGAGTATTTTAAAAAAATGGAATAAAGATAATTTGATTGAAATAAAAAATATTTTAAAAGATATTATCCCATTAATAAGGTTTAATCATATATCAATAAATGATTTTTATGATAAAATCAAACCTTATGAAAACGTTTTTCATGAAGATGTATTTAAAGAAATTCTTCAGCATTATAATGATGGTGATGATAAACGGCAATCAAGTTTATTAGTAATTGAAAAAAAACCAAGAACAAAGAAAAAAAATCTAATACATTTAAAATTGAAATCGTTGATTTCCAGTTGGATAGATAAAAAAATTGACATATATAATAAAAACAATATCCCTTATGAATTTGAATTGATTTTTTGTGGGAGTCAAGATGGATTTACTAAATCAGTTTTTCAAGATAAATGTTATGATATTGAACAAACTGTAGTTATAATGAAAATTAAGGATACAGGGGAGTTGGTTGGTGGTTACAATCCAGTTTGTTGGAACTTAAAAAAAAGGTCACCAAATGATTTTTACTATATTGAAACAAATGAAAGCTTTATTTTCAAGATTGATGAAAATCAAATTAGTAATTCAATATTGAGCAGAGTTGAAGATATCAAATATGCAATAACCCATACTAGTCAAATTAGTGAAATCACTAAAGATTATATAGAATTTCATGAAGTTCCCATAGATTTTGGTGATTTACAACTACGCAATAGCATTAATAATGAACCTTATTGTTATTATTATCATTGGACTATTTATGAAGATGATTTGAATCTTAAAAATAATAACAGAGAGGTACATTTATTAGAAGAATGTGAGGTGTATAGATTAGTAAAGAAGTAGTAAAAATATGTGTATATGTGCACAAACATAGAATATTTCTTATTAAATAGAACTTTTATTTCTATTATTATTGATTATATAATATTTTTATTATTATTTATTTTTTTAGATTATAATTTCTTAGATTTTTTATCTTTTGTAAAATATGTAATTATAAAATTAATAAAATAATAGAGAATGATTTGTTTATAGAATACTTGCTGTAAAAATATTCCTAAATGGTTTATTTGTATGCGTTAAATTCAGTACACTAATTTCATCAAACTCTGTACAGAACATGTATAATCTTTTTTAGTTTGAAGCAAATAAACCTTGGGACTATAGACATGATTTGAATAAGTTCTTTGTAAACTTCTTTAATCAATTCAGCTAAAGCTTCATGAATATTTCTCAGCCATCTTGTGCTTGTTTGTTTTGACTTTATTGATCATGCCAAATTATGAAAATGTAATATAATGAATAGATGAATGCGAATTTTTATATATCCATCATTTAATGAGCCATTTTCTTCTGAAAAAAGAAGCAATTTTTTTTGATATCTCCGTCTTTATCACTGCAATATTTCTACCAGATTCCTACTCCATTCAAGATTCATTAAAGAATTGAAAATTAAACAAAGGTATTATATACAGTGTGTTTCAAAAAAACTGGAAAATTATTGTTGTTGGAAAATCTTTGTAACTTTCAAACAAAATTTAAACAAAGCTTTGCTTTTCAAAGTTATTTCAAATCATTTTATAACTGAACCTGATGTTTAGTTTTCGAGTAATTAGCTTTTAAAATGCACAATAGGGTTGGATTTACTTTTTTTTTTGCAAATACATTGTTAGAATAAAAGGGATACATCTACCTGACAAACATATCATATTACGAGCATTTCATTCTCAAATATCTCTTTCAATATTAATAAGTTGAACAAGATAGACGATTTGGTTCATAGAAGAGTTAATTGTTGGAGAAAACGAGTTCACAGTTTAAATCACGTGATTTACTACAATTTATCTACTGGTTTTCTTTTTTTTTATAATGATTTGTCTCAGACCTTGAAAATTTCGACTTTAATTAGATTATTTGATAACTGGTTACCAAATATAAAGAGACCTAACTCCTTGATTTATTTCTAATTAGTTTAATTTGATCAAAAAATCAAGACGTTAATTTATAATTAAAACCAACAGTAAAAGCATTTTGTATTAAAGTATAGTAATAATTAATAAAAAGTTCTGCTTTTAATCTATCGAATGAGCTGTAGGGTTCCTAATCGTAATTATAACTCCATATCTGAATATTCGTAAATCCAAAATTACGAATTTCGAATATTATTTTGGATACTCGTAATTATTTCGGATACTCGTAATTATTTCGGGTGCTTGTAATTATTTTGAATGCTCATCATTTCAGATATTTGTATAAATTCTAACAAACTATTATTAATTTTTTCTTGTTCTTTAATTGATAAAGTTTTTTTTTAGACACCATCAATTTGATTGTTTATTTCAAAAATGATTTATACAATTGAAGTATTAGGAAAAATTTTCTGCAAATTCCTTATCTTTATTATCTTTGAAAAAATGTTTGTTATATAATAGGATAAGTTATAAATAAGTTAATACTATTTGTTATCAATCGATAATCATTCACAACAAATGATTATATTCAAAATAAATACAAGTATCTGAAATAATTACGAGTATCCGAAATAATTATGAAATAAATTATATATATATATATTCAAATATCCTTGAATAAATTGATTTTTGAATACACATCTAAACTCGATAAGTCGGACATTTATTTATATTATAAAGTACTCTAAACAATTGATTGCTGCGTCCGACTTATCGAGTTTAGATGTGTATTCATACAAAAATTTTTCCGTTTTTCCGTTTTTTTTTTTTTTTTTTTTTTTTTTTTTTTTTTTTTGAAACACACTGTATATCAAATTTTTGAGGAAATTACATTTCCATTTGCCATTTTTCGTCATAAAATAGAGTTCATTTGCCAATACACATTCCCAAGGGAAGTGCGCTTAGAGTGGGTTGACTGTAATATCTTGATAATAAAATACAAACATAAATATCTTTTTAACTTAAACTCTCCACCAGTGGAATAAACCATTCACTCGTCAAACCTATCTAAATAATTATTAAATACTAACATACCAAGGGGATGCCTTTGATAAGTATAGTTGTGTGTGTTTATTTCTTTTAATTTTTTTTCTTTATTTTTATTTAGCTTAGGCCAATGCCTAAGAGAAGTAAACCCTAGCTAGGTGCAGCTCTATAAAAAATTTGTTGCGGAAAACTGTACTGAATTTGTACGGAATTTTACCAGAAAAATGCATTTTTCCGTACATCTTCCATACCAAATTTTTTATATGGCAGTCAGTCCAGATACTGGGCCTAAAAAATAAGTAATGGATAAGCCAAAAAAGAACCAAGGCGGATATTTAGTATGGTAAATATCTTTGGGATGTGCTGGCTCAGGCAGATAACAAATAACTGCAGAGAAAACATTACCAGATGGGAAGTAAGACTCGCCCTACAACAGATTAATAGCTTAAGCGCTATTACTACCATATAAAAAGGAAAGTCAGTTGGAATTAAACTTTTCAGAAGATATTCAGATACTGCCATACAAACAAAATAAAACACTATTCTAACTAAATCTAGAAATTTGTGTGAGACGTGGATTTTGATCTCACAATAGTCCAAGTCAAACAATTTATTTATTTATTTTTACTATTTAAGTTTAGAAACATTTGGATTATACATGAAGTCAAAACTGATTTTTACTATGTAGTTGCCTCAAGTCGAAACATTTCGACTTTGGGGTTTTAATTTCGACTTCATGTATAATTTGGATAGATAAGATTGTCATCTATCTGTATTTTATTATTATAAATAGAATATTACTTTAAGAAATATAAAGATAACCTATATTTTTACTACAATTAAAGTATTTGTTCATAGCAATTATAATCATGTAGTTATCCACAAAAAATATCCGCAATCGCCAAAGCGATTTCTAAATAAGGATAAAACACACCAACCCACCAATTAAATTGGATATTCTCATAATGCTGCGCAAAATTGCGGATGATTACATCAGGAAAATGGGTACAAATATTATGCGTATATAATACACAATTGCAGGGATTAAGCATATAATATGCATACAAATCGTGTATTTTTTTATGTATGCAAATTGTACATATATTATATGCTTAATCCCTGCAATTGTGTATTATATACGCATAATATTTGTACCCATTTTCCTGATGTATATAGTAATTCTTTACAAATTCTTTACAACTGCCATAGTAAATTCAATCTGATTGATCAACAATAATTGGAACAATTAATTGGTCAATGATTTACTATCCCACAATATCCATACTATAGACATCCAAGTAATATACTTAACCACATCAACAGGATACTCAACCATAGCAATTGAACATATACCCTTGTATTTATATTTATCATGCTACCTCCATGCCCAAGTGCAGCAAAGATGACTTTAAAAGCAACCAAGATTGTAATGTTCACCTGAATTGACAAATTCCCTGTGTATCTGAAACCATTCCAGATCCCAATCATATAGCTGAACCTAAATGGAATGAGCTTACAAAGTGTGAAAATGGTAGCAAATGTGATACTGGTGCACCTTTCACAATGACTTTAGTTAAGACCATAAACAGAGTTTTAGTGGTAATTATCATTGTGTCACACTGTAGTTGGAATACTCTTACCACATCCACCTCAGTTACGTTAAATTCTCCTTAACTTGGGTATAAAATAACCACATTTCTACCCAATCAAAATAAAAGAACATGTTGATTTAGTGTAACTGAGGTAGGTGTGGTAAGAGTTTTCCTGTAGTTGCAACTTTTACTTCTATCTCCACCAGTTTCCACTTGAGGAATGTGAGGGTAAAGGGGTAAAGGTTTGCAGCTCAAATTCTTCTGCCTCTACAGTTCCAATCATTAAAATTGAAATGGAAAAAACTTTTTGTGTATGTCAATATATTTATTAAATTAATTAAATTTAAATTTCATTAAAAAATTAATTCAATAACAAAGTTTTCTTGTTAAATGATTTTATTAATAATTTGATTTTCTTGGGGCTTTTATTTTGCCAAATAAAATAAAAATTCAATTCTTCCCAACCTATTTATTTAATACATTCTTGATTTTTCTTATTTCGTTTTCCAATTCATCATGTTTTTCTATAATATGTAATAAAGAAGAATGATAATGATTAAGAGAAAGAAGATATCAAGAGAAAAATAATTATTGATTTGGATCTTCTTTACTTTTTTCTTTATCTTTTAATTTTCCCCGATCTTCTACCAAAAAATATATATTTGAATTGGTTGTTAATTGATGATATATTGTCTAAAATTATATATTAGAGGAGGAAGTAAAAAATGTTAAAATCAATAAAGTATCCATAATAATATATATAAATGATAATAAGTAATTACAGATTTATTCCTTAATGTTGATAATTCATTATTCAAAACTTTTGACTCTTTTAACTTTAGAAGAAAATATATGTATGAGAGAGAGAAAATTAGAATCAACAACATTCTTTATTCTAACCTTTCTTTCAAGCAATTCAAGTTTATTTTTTAATAATGTAATTTCAATATTATTGCTAGACATTACAAATTATGTGATTCGAACTTTTATTTAAATATTGATATTAAGGATGAGAAAAATATAAAATGATTATCGTTTCTTAAAACGTAATAAGTTCATTTAGTAACTCGTCTTAAATAATAATAATAAAGATGTCAAACAAAGTAATTCAATAATAATAATAAACAGTAATAATAACAGTAATAATAACAGTAATAATAATAATAATAATAATAATACTAATAATAATAATAAATTTAATTAACGGATTTTCATCTATTAAATTGATTTTAATGAATTAATAAATTAACCGTTATTAACTATTAATATTAATATAATTAATCCATCGTTAATAATTATTTACCATTCCTTTAGCACGCCAATTTCCAAAGTTTTCAAAAGCTGTAGAGCATCATCAGAATGTCCGATATCTTCAAAAAATTGGGTTGCATCTTTACCTACTACATCAAGTATAATTTCTTCTCCTCCTGGATGCTATTATTGATAATAATCGCATCATATTAATAAAATAAAATAATTTCCAATTAATTATTTATAAATTTATAATCACCTCCTTAATAAATTCTGTAACGTTATAAACTTTTCCTTTGATACAAAGATAATATAATTCTTTTGTATTATATTTTGCAAGTTCTAAAAGCGTAAATTCTTGTGTGGTTTCTGCCATTTTGCTTAAAAAAAAAATTTTTATGATAATATTGCACAGTAAATAAGATTGATTAACATGTGTGTTCTCATTTTAACAATGGAATTGCCCAATTTAGCATTTTTATTTGAAAAAAATAAAATATACAAATTATGTAATTGTTCTTTTGAAAAAAAAAATTTTATTATTAATTATTGTTATTATTACAAATTACTACAAAAAAATTTAATTGTTTGATTGATTATTATTGATCTAGTCTGCGACCTCTTCCCCAATTGCTAGTTGATGATCTTGTCGTTGTTGCACTAGCAGGATTTCCGCCAACTCTAGAAGATTGTTGTTGTTGTTGACTAAGTCTACCAGGATATGCCGTACCAAAAGTCGTTGAAGTTGGTGTAGATGATAATGGGAATATCGAATAGAGCCATCCTGGAGTAGTCAGGAGTCTTGGTCCACCATTTGCAGGATAAGTATCAGTCAAGTAATGGTATGCATGACCTGTAAATAATCCTATTATTGATTCCCATGGTAATCCACCGCCCATCTGTAATGCTTCAAATATTACCAATACATATGGAAAATATTTCCCCTACAAACATTTGTAGATATACATTTAAGTAATTATTATTATATTATTATTATTATTTATAATAATAGTATGTATAAATTTACAATAAATAAATTTACCTGGAATCTTAATCCAAATATAAAATTCACAATTCTATCACTATAATATTGAGACCATAAATATATTATGGACATTACCAAACTTTGGTTTAGTAGTATTAATTCTTTGAACCATGCACACACCTATAATAAAAGAGTTAAATCAAGGGTTAAGAATAAATAATATTATATTATATATATTGAAAAATAGATCATTATTTCAAAATCAATGAAAAAAATTTTTTTTGATAATGAAATCCATCAATAACAACATCAATAATATTAAAATAATGTTGATGATGATTTATTTTTCTTTTGATTTATCCCTTGGAACGAACTGAATACTTGTAGTAATTATAAGAAGAATTCAGGCAGAATAAGGGAAATAATATAATATATAAAAAAATAAAGAAGGATACGAGTATTGATACACCTTCAAACAATAAGAAGTACACATAATCTGCTGTTCTACCAGCAAATCTTGTTGTCTCCATTTCTCTTGAATATGTATACAAAAAATACAACTGTATTGCTCCATTCAAATTAAACAATTGAAAGAAAAAACTTGTAAATAATCGCCAAATCTAATAAAAACAATAATTGTTATCATTCGAAATGAAGCAAATAATTAATATACTCGTAATCATATTACCAATAAATAAATTACTTACCTCTAAGCGTGAAAATACTTCTCTAGGATAGAACACAAAGTAGGATGGGTTGATTATTCTGAAATTTCCTGTCACAGTTATTAAAATAAAACTTGTAAATAAAAATCTTGTACAAGGTGGAATACTTTTATACCACAACATTATTTCATTTTGCACTCGCGGTTGATTTGGTTGATTTCTATTCATATTTTATTATATTTTATTTTTGACTTGGTAAAAAAAATTATAAATTTATAATATATATGACGATGATCTGACACGTGTTAACAAATCGTTTGAGTTCGCTCCAAAATTTTCGATCAGCGATTTTCTGCAGCTATGAACATTTTCATGATGACTATTTCCTCCGCTTTAATAATAATAATAGGTACAAAATACAATCCGTCATCAATTCTAATACTAATATTAAATAAATTTGGTATATGCAACTATTAAGAAAACTTCCGATTTCACTAAATTTTTATCATCCCGCTAAACATAATAATAAAAAGAGTAATAATTCAAACTTGAAAATGAAAGTAAATGATAATAGCCCCCAAACCTTTTAAATGCAATAAATATTTAGATAACAGGGAAGAAAATCATGGTAAATATCCAACTTGTAATAGATGTAATACAAATTATTCATGATGCCAAATGTGTGATCCACAGTTATCAACAGAAGGTTGGATTAATGGTGATGACAAAATTGATAAGATAATTAAAAGCACACAACATAAAGCAACATCTTATATATAGCAACAATTATCTTTGATGGATTCCTTATGATGATTTTAAGTCTTTCATAATGTTACAAATAAGTGTATATACAAAGCTACATGGATAAATGTCACAAAGATAGACTAGTAATGCTAAAAAATAATGAATCTAGATATTTTTTTAAAAGGAGGTAATATTATTAAAAATGATACATATTCTATAAAATTAATTATATAATAATTCGTTTTTTCTCATTGTTATTGAAATTTATGATTTAAATAAAGTTAAATACAAATGAATATTTTATAGTGACAAGAACTTCACGAAAATGGTGTCTATCATTATAACCTTCATTCTCATAACATCCTGGTAAATAAAAATGATGAAGCAATAACTTCAGATTTTGGCTTGTCAGCTTAGTTGATACTATTTTAGAAAACCCAAACAATATAAAGGGGGTATTGCCATATATTGCAACAGAGATATTAACAGAAGGCATTTATTCAACAACATCTGACATTTATATTTTGGAGTGTTGATGTGGAAAAGATCAATTATAAATAGGATAGGAAGTTATGACTGTAATGTCAACAGGTCTACAACCATTTAATGCTAAAGAACATGATATTAAACTTCCAGTAAAAATAATGGAGAAGGGTTAACCCTTTTTTTTCAGATACTACACCAAGTTTTTATATTGAATTTGTAATTTGATGAATGGATTTTTTATGTCCAACTGCCAAAAAAATATTTGTTTCGAGTTTAATAGCATAAATCAAAAAGTTACATTTTTTTGAAATGCTTAAAAGATTAATTTCAATTTGAAAGTTTTTTGATAAAATGGATAAATTGCAATTGTTTTATTTAAAATCAACTACTACTTGTGAATCTATATGCCTGAATCTCCAAATAGGTCTAAAGATTCCCTAATAATAAAAAGATGATTCAGTAATAATATTTTTTTATTGCATGATGGGGAAAATTTTGGCTTGTTCATACATTACTAAATATAGAAAATTTGTAATAATAATTTTGTAACAGTCAGGGATATTTCAGCATGATGGAAGTTCGATTTATCACGTTTATCACTTTGTGACGATCTTGAAATTATGTTGTGCGACCATATAATTTTAAAGTAGATTGTATATGTAAAAATCACGTTTTCAATTGACAAAAAATTGTTTACATAATAATTTTCAAATAAACTTCGTAATTATATGTGTGATTAAAAAAAATGTATAGTTGGATATTGTGGAAAATTTTGCAGCAAGAATTTAAAGCTTGTTACAGTGAACCTCTCCCTCCCTTTATTCCATATGTAATGAGAGGCAGTTAGTTATTAGAGAAATAAAAAAGTTCAATGGTAACGTTTCATAATAAAGATCATGCATGGTAGAAGTGAGATCAAATCTCTTTTACAATAAACTTTTATATTAATGACAAAATTCTTTTTTCATTGATGGATGGTAAAGTAATTTCCAAGATATGAAAAGCCCTGAATTTGGAAATAAAATGTTTTTTAAATACCAAATTGGAATAAGGTATATATCATATATCAATAGTTTTTTTGGCGTTCAACAAGTAACACAAAATTGGTCGATCAATCTATGTATATTAATATTACTAATATAATTTTTTTCTTTTCTTGGTAATTCTTTGGTATTAAGAAGAAAAGTGATTCTGTATTTTTTCTACGATTATTTATTCAGTATTTTGTATTAAATCTGATTATCGATATCTTCCATTCCTTTGCAAAACATTGAACAATTCTTTATTTTTTGGCGCACAATTTTGTTATGTATATAGGTAGGTAATAGTGTCATGAATTCTAATCTTGGATATTCCAAGAATACTGCTGATTTGTCTCTCACTATTACCCGCTTTAAACAAATCAATGATTTCTCTTTACCTGATTCTTTTCTTTTTGAGTTTAAGTTTTCCATTTTTAAAAAATAGTCTCTCAAGAATTTCAAAGATTTAAAACATACTCATCAACTAAAAAAAAGGACTTTAAAGTAATGAATCCTATTATGATATCCAGGTAAAGAAATCAACTGAACCTTTGGCATAAAGATGATTCGAATTAAGAAGGCATTCTTGACGTTCCTCGAATGAAAATGTGGATTTCACTAATGTTTAGATAATAATGTAATATTTTAACAATAACAATAACAATAATAATAATTAATATTATTATCATCATTACTAATATTTATTTATAAAATAGATAATCTTATGTTAAAACATTCTTTTTTTTTTTTATCAAAAATATTTCAAGAATCTCTTCTTCTTTAATTATTACAACATCGTCAATCTTATTTTGCAAAAAATATTTATTAATACTAATGATGGTTATTAATTTAAATCCAACCAGACATTCGATCTAGTCACCACTGTTCATTCGTTCATTTTTTATGCCTTGTAAAATAATCAATGAAAAAAGGAGCTTTTGTAAAAGAATAAAAAATAAATGTTTAATAAATATTTTTTTAATTTGTTAATTACACACATATATTAACTCACCAATTCTTATGATTGTAGCGTAAAAAAAAAAGGAGGTAAAACCCTTAATAGTGTTTTGGTGTTGTATTTTCTTTTCTTCAAGTGACGGTTTCGGTGGTTGCATAAACATTTTTTTTTTTAATCTTTTTATCTTGTGAAATGTCCACAAATAAATGAGGATCAAAGTTAAAATTGGTCAATATGATGATGATCATGGTAGTATGGGAAGTTATTTTGGCAAATATTTCGGTAGTTATTTATTGCAGGTAAAATCTGGGAGTATCATCAAAAAAGATGCCAAAGCCTGCAATTTGTTGCTGCTGATTTCATTAGGTTTATCTTTGGTATCTTTAATAGTGTCATCAAAACTTATATTACCTGAACTAATTTTCGGAAAAAGGAGCACTAATATCATGATTTTCACCATAATAATCATCATTATTACCACTTTCATTGTCATCAGAATCAGAATAATTTTTGTCATCATTATCATTTTTGTCGTCATCATCATCACCATTTTCATCATCATTGGGATATTCTATTTGATATAACCTCACTGACTTCCCCAAGTAAAATGGCTTGGATGACTTAAAAACATTCATCCCAACCACAAAGAATTATTTTCCGGCCTTTTTCTTTTACTTGTTATTTGGTCAGACAATGAGACAGTTAATGTTGCTATTTACCGCATATTTCTTTTATTTTTAAATTTGTAAAGGATTATTAATATTAAATTAAAATTGCACCACCCAAGTACTTATTATCTTTGAAGAAAGAAAAGATAGCAATACTAATATCATGCAGAAATGAAACTTTTAAAGAACTAATTCTGGAAAAAAAGCATAATGTCCTCCTGACAAAAATTTTTAGTGGTCGAGTCTCTACCTCCAAACATAAAATGAATAGTGTTAAATTCGCCCAAGTATATATCTGACTTAATGGAGTTGTTCTTTCATACATATGCAAGTTCTCCTCTCGATACCTTTTTGTGAGAACACGTTGACATATAAAGTACATATAAAATATACATCTTATTGATGTAAGATTTCACATGAAAGTTTTTATTTAGCATGCAGCGTGTTTCAAAAAAAAGGCGCCAAAATGTAAATTTATTTTAAAAATGAAGAAAAAATTTTCACATGGCAAAAACGATTGGGTATCTTGTTTGAATGATGATAAACGCTTGTATATATGTTTATTACATGGCGTTTGCAACAGTATAAT